TTTTCTCTCATCCTCCTTTTCTGTGCCTCAGCGTATTCCGTCTGCCGGGCTCAGTGTACGCGGGCCCGAGTGTGACTACCGAACGCCTGAGGGTCGTCGTGTGTGTGTGTGTGTGTGTGTGTGTGTGCTATTGCCTTTTTATACCCCTTGGAGGCCGTGGCTGCCTGCCTGCTCACGTCGGTGCCAAGTGCGAGAGAAGGCGGGGGAGGCCGGGGTGGGTCCATTCGCGACGACAAACCCACACGGCAAGGTAAGAAAAGGCGGTGTGTGTATATATATATATACACAAATAGAGAGATAGAGAGAGGCCACTCCGTAAGGTGTGCCCCTGGCACTGCGTAGATCTTACGCGTTGCGGCGTGGACACGCTTTGCCGCGGTGAGCTGCAGACACGCATGGTGCATGGAAATAACGGCGGTGCCGCCGCCGACACCGCCGACGCAGTGCCACCGCTGCCAAGGGGAATGGATCCGGCCTACTACGCCCTGAGCCTGTTGCGACGCCGCCGACTGGAGGAGTGCATCGCCGTCTCGGCGCATCACCTCGCAGTGCTGCATGAAACGCAGCTTCAGACGTTGCCGGCGCCGCCGTCGCAGGCCCAGGCGGCTGGCGAGGCCGAGGCGCTGTGGTTCATCCAGGCACGAGCGCTCGTCCTGCAGAACTGGTTCGACGAGCTCGACGTGGAGGACGACGGCGTGGACGAGGTGCTGCTGGACGGGGAGCAGACCGTCGCCTCCACGACGCCTCGCCCCGGCACCTCCCTGCAGCGGCGGAAGCTCACAGAGAGGACGCCTGCCGCGACCGGCGCGGCGCAGCGGCAGGGCACCGCACGCCCCATCAGTAGCCGCTACGGGTATGCGCGGCCTGGGACGCAGAGCAGGAACCGTCCAGGCACAAACTCCGCACGCCCCATCACGTCACGAATGATGCGCGTTGGCACGGCGTCCCTGCAGTCTGTTCCTGGTGGCCCACACATCGACGTGCAGAAGCTGAACATGGAGCACTGCGGCCGGGGGTCGCCGGTGGTGGCGAGGCTTCTCTGCGACTTCTTGCTGCACGTGGAGCACCGGCCGCGGATGGTGGTGGAGCTTGCGAGCGTCGCCCTGGAGCGGCATCCGAAGGACTGGTGGTGGATGTCGCGTATGGGACAGGCGTACTACCGCCTGGGTCTCCTCCGTGAGGCGGAGCGGCAGTTCAAGGCGGCGCTCGCCGTTCAGGAGAACGTGGCCGACGTCATGCGGCTCGCCAGGGTGTTTACCAAGATGGATCAGCCCCTCACGGCGCTCGAGTTGCTCTCCGGCGCGGCGGAAAAAAATCGCCTTGACCACCACCTTCTGCTCGGCATGGCACGCCTGTACGATCAGCTGCAAGATGCGGCGAAGTCGTGCCAGTTGTACCGAAGCGTGTTGCGGCTGGACAGCAGCAACGTGGAGGCGGTCGCCTGCGTCGCGGCGCACATGTTTTACGAGAAACAACAGCCCGAGGTTGCGCTGCGCCTGTACCGTCGCCTGCTGCAGATGGGGGTGCAGACGACGGAGCTCTGGAACAACCTAGGTCTATGCTGCTTCTACAGCTCTCAGTACGACATCGCCCTCAGTTGCCTGCAGCGCGCGATAGCCACCGCGACGGAGGACGATACGTTAGCCGATGTGTGGTATAACATCGGGCATGTGGGCATTGGCACCGGTGACTTGGGCCTCGCCCACCGCGCCTTTAAGGTCGCGCTCGGCGCCAACCCGCGCCACGCAGAGGCGCTCAACAACCTCGCGGTGATGAAGCTGCACATGGGGCAGGTAGAGCAGGCCGTGAACGACCTTGCCATGGCCATCGAGGTCGCGCCGGAGCAGCATGAGCCGCTCTACAACTTGGCCCTCCTCTCCTTTAGGGCGGGCAATTTCGAAAAGGCGTACAAGCTTCTGGCGCAGGCGCTGGAGGTGTCGCCGGATCACCCGGAGAGCGTTGAGCTCCAAGCGGCACTGCGGACCGCGTTGGCGATGCTGTAGCTGCGTACTCTTGCCGCCGTGCATCCCTGCCCTTCTGCCCGCGACTGTCTTGCGTGGTGTTGTGGAGAGGACTTGCGTGCGTGAGCGTGAGTGTGTGTGTGTGTGTGTGTGTGTGTGTGTGTGTGTGTACTTGCGCCCCCTGTCCAACGGCGGTGGACCCTCAAATCTGCGGCGGGAAAGAGATGGGCAGCCCACGCGTACGGGTGGTGTGGCCCTGCAACGTGCACGGTGCCTGTCTCTGCCGGCGCCCTCTTGCTGTAGCCCTCGTTGCTTCCTGCGGTTGACGCCGAATCTCCCTTTTCCCGCGCAGCGAAGGAGCCGAGGGGCGGGGCTGGGAAGAAAGAAACAAAAGGAGGGAGGGAGGGAGTCCCGCACTGAGCAGAAGTAATAATAAACGAAAAAAAAGCAAGGGAAAGAAGGAGGGTGAAACAGAAAAAAAAAACAGAGGAGGAAGACGGCCAAGGACACATGTATCATGGATCAGAGGAGGAGCTGCGCGCCGCGGAAATGGCGGGGCGCGTGTACGACAACCTCTGCACGAGCACGCCGCTAGAGCTGCACGGCATTCGTCAAATGCACACGAGCCACATCGGCGGCGCCTCACTTGACGGGGAAAACGAGTCTACGTGCGGCAGCCACAACACCTCCGCCGCCCAGCCGTCGCAGCGGGGCCGCGTGGGTGGGGCGCAGCCCCCGCCGCCGCATATCACCGGCGTGAACGCCGTGGTGGAGGTGGCGCGGCGGGAGTCCGTGCTGCGGCAGCTGTACAACGACAAGCTTCGGGGCAGCATCAGCGCCATCCTAAGCGCCCTCATGAACGAGCTTCCGCGGGATCACATCTTCATGCAGCTTCTGAGTGACGCGACGACCGAGCAGTACTGTCGCGTGCGGGTGGGGGAGGTGGTGGAGAGTTTCCTCTTCTCGGTGCAGGCGCACCAGTACCACAACCTCGCCTCGGAGCTGGCGAAGCGGGAGGTGGAGCTCTTGACGCTCGCCGGGCAGCTGGAGGAGGCGCAGCAGGCGAACGCGGACGCGCCCCCGCCGCCGCTCAAGTCCTTCAAGGCCACTCAAACCGATAACCGCATCGACGCGGGGATGAACACGACGGAGTGCCCCACCCAGCCGGCACACGGTGGCGTGGAGCCGGCGGAGGCGGCGGCGCAGGAGGAGCTTATCGCGTTGCTTGAGGACGTGACGCGCGAGCACGAGCTCGCCAAGTGCCGCGAGTGCCTCTCCGCCCCCACCTCGCTGCTGGAGACGGTGCAGGCGGAGGGAAACTACCGCGACAAGTACGAGTACCTCGCCGATGTCGTGGGCCACCTTTTCCGCTCCGTTCAGGGGCTTGTGGTGTACGCCGACGGCTCGCTCGCCAGCCTGGGATCGCTGCGGCACAGCCTCCACGGTGTGTGGGGCCGCGACGACGGCAATGCGGCCGACGCCGGGGCGCAAACCGCGTTGCGCCGCCGGTCACTGTCAGGCAACTCCGCGGCGGCGGGCTGTTCTTTCCCCTCCTCCGTCGCCTCTTCCGCCGCCGCCGGCACTTCCCCCGTGCAGCCGCAGCAGTCGCCGCAGCAACGGGAGGCGATCTTTGAGGAGGAACGTGCCCGACTAGAGGTGCTGGCGGCACAGTTAAAGTACGCGCAGCGTCACTGTGGCGACGTCATTGAGGGCCTTGGCAAAGCCCAGGCAGAGATGCAGCGGCAAAGCGAGACCCGTGAGCAGCAGCTGGAGCAGCTTCAACAGCTAGCCGCAAGGAACAACACGCAGGAGTTAAGTAAAGCTCTCAAGGCAAATGAGGCGGCGTTAGTGCGGCTCCGTGAGGAGCTGCAGCAGTCTTTTGCTGCGGAACGGGCCCAGGCACAGGAGCGAGAGCGGGAATTAGAGCAGCGGTGTGCCCAGCAGGCCTCTGAGCTGCAGCAGGTGACTGAAAAGCTGGCGGCGGAGCGGCAACAACTACAAAGAGAGGTGGAGGAGCGCGGCAAGGCGGAGCAACGAATGCAGGCGGCGGCAGAGGCGCAGCGGCAAAGCGAGACCCGTGAGCAGCAGCTGGAGCAGCTTCAACAGCTAGCCGCAAGGAACAACGCGCAGGAGTTAAGTAAAGCTCTCAAGGCAAATGAGGCGGCGTTAGTGCGGCTCCGTGAGGAGCTGCAGCAGTCTTTTGCTGCGGAACGGGCCCAGGCACAGGAGCGAGAGCGGGAATTAGAGCAGCGGTGTGCCCAGCAGGCCTCTGAGCTGCAGCAGGTGACTGAAAAGCTGGCGGCGGAGCGGCAACAACTACAAAGAGAGGTGGAGGAGCGCGGCAAGGCAGAGCAACGAATGCAGGCGGCGGCAGAGGCGCAGCGGCACTACGGGGTTACTGTTTCAGAGCTTCAGCGTGACCTTGCGGCTGAGAGGGACGCGTTGCAGGCAGCAATGCGCAAGGTGCAGGAAGAGCTCATCGCCCGCCGCGCGGAAGCGGTGTGTGCGCGGCTGGAGAGCTTCGCGCTAGACGCCCAGGTTGCAAAGATGGAATTTCTACTTGCATACGGCTACCAACGTGCCGCGGCGGAGCAGCACTATTCCCTGTTGCTGGCAAAGGAGGCAGTCCGGCACGCGCAGACGCAGGCGGCGACGGAGCAGAAGATACTGCGGGAGCATGAGGCTGCCACGCAGCAGTGCTACGAGGACCTGCGTTCCCTGCTGGAGTGCATGCGGGAAGATGACCACAAGGCGGAGTGGCAGCAGCGCGAGGAGGAGGCCGACACGGAGGCACGTCGACGCCGCGTCTCCGCCGACAAGAGCACCGAGGCTTATCCTGCAAGTGGGACGAATGGAGGTGTTGGTGGTGCTGCTCGCGTCAAGGCTGCGGAAGTGGAGGAGGCGGAGCGGGTGGTCGTGGTGGAGGCCGGCGCACAGACGCAGGCGCTGCTGCACCGCTACGGCACGCCAAAGACCCTCACCGGCGTCGTCACGGCGATGCAAAACGCCTACGAGGCGGTTCAGCGTCATCAGCGATACATGCAGAGCACGGTGGATGCCGTAAGCGAGCGTGGGAGGCAGTTGCAGCAGGAGGCCGACACGCTGCGCGCGCGGCTGGAGCAGCTGATGGCGGATTACGAGCAGCAGCGGGCGAACTTCAAGCGGCTGTGGAACGAGCGAGCGATGTGGGAGCAGCAGGACACCCTGAAGGGGCTGCTTGCAAAGCAGGAGGCGCTCCTGGCCACAGTGAACCTGGAGCGTGAGGCACTGCAGGTGCGGTGGTCCACGCTCAGCGAAGAGTACCAGGCCCTGGAGCGACGCAATTCGCAGCTGCACGAGCGATGTGCGGTGAAGGAGGCGGAGAACGCGCGGCTTCTGGGGTACCTGCGAGCCACGCGGATAACGTCAGCCTCGCCGACAGCGTCCCGGCAGCAGCAGCAGCAGCAACAGCCGAAGTTGTCACCGCCGGAGGCTGTGCACGATACGGCAGCCGACGCGGCCGGTGCCTCCGTACGGCCCGCGGCGGGGGGAACGACGAGTGAGAAGGCAGCGGCACTGGAGAACTCGCCGGAGGCGCGGCGGGCAGAGACGCAAACGCTGCCCGGACTTCGTGGCTCGCGGGGGTCGTCGAGCGCCGCCGGTCTCAGCGGACAGGCACGGACGCCGTGCAGCAGCGTGGTGGAGGACGAGGTCGGGTTCGGTCATAGTGCGGTGGGGGTGGTGGTGCCTCTCGGGCAACTCCCACGCGATCGCGGCGCGTGGCGCCAGCTCTGCCGCCCTGGGCGCAGCGCCGCTGCTGCCGCGCCTGCCACCCCCACAACATCCGCGGAGGAGGAGGAGGAAGAGAAGGAGGAGAACGCAGTCGTGGCGGGGGCACACGGGCGGGACTAGAATAGATTGTCCCGTGTGCGGCGTCATTAAAATGCGGAGGATTCACGGGATGTGCGTATATAGAGGGAGAGGGAGATGCCGCGTGGATTGCAGTGGCGAGCTGGTGGCCATGATGCTATTGGGCTCTTTTGCCCCCCGCCCTCTCCCACGCAAATGCGTCCATGTGCGTACAGTCATGCATTTCCTTCATTGTTGTTGTTCTTTTGCTGCGAGCAGGAACACGCAGATAAAGAAAAGGGCGTGCATAATGGATTGCGGCCCTCCGCCTTTGGTGTGTGGTTTGTGGTGCTTCGGCTTTTGAAGCTTCTTCCCATTTGCCTTCTTGTTTTTTTACGTTTTTTTTTTTGGCTTCGCCGCTTTGCTGGGGGGGGGCGCTTCCTCCACTCATGCAAAGCAGACGCTGCAGAAGAGCGAGAGTGAAAAATGCCCTCCGCCCCCGCGTTTCGTGTAGAGCCGCAGGAGCCGCAGGGCGGGCGGGCCGCCGCGACGCTGGCGGGCACCCGCGCCTACCTCGACCACGCGTGTGTCCCGCTGCTGATGGAGGCGATGGCCGCCGTCTCGCGGGCGCGGCCCGACGACCCGATTGACTTCATTGCCCACTACCTGCTGAGGCACAACCCGAACCGCCGCGGCCCGAACGCAACTTCCGGGCAGCGACCCACGTGAGAGACGCAGCGTAGACCGCCCTCCCCCTCTGTCGTTATATTGTATCGGCGTGCCCCCTTCCCTCCTATTCCTTTGTTTGGCTTTGCTTTGGATTTTGTTTTCTTCTTATTCTTCTTCCGGCGCCGCAGCCCTGACGCGTGGCGGGACTCCGCACCACCACACTGCCCGGCATCCCGCCCGCCATTGACGCGTTCACACACGCACACATTATCTCTCTCTCTCCTCCTTTCGTTGTGCGTATTTACTTCTTTCAACGCCTGCACACACGCGGCGGCAGGTAGGGTTGCCTCTCGCACGACTAGGTTCATTCCTCCCTCGCCGGAATACCCAGACACCGCCTCCTCGGCGAGGGAGTCATCATATAGAGTCATTACTTGTAAAGGTGCCCGTGCACGGATACGCACACACACACACACAGTTGGTTTGTGTGTTTTTCACCTTCGCTCTTTGACAGGGGGACGACGCGGGAGAGAAACGAAGAAAATATAAAATATTTTTTTTAAAAAAATAGGGCGGGGCGGGTGGGGACGGAAGCGGCGTAAACGCTTCTTCTAATGCCCTCCCGACCGGGCGCGGCTGCCGCCGCGGTTCAGTCAACGAATGCCGCGCTTGTGGTAACCGTCTTTCAGACAAGCCTGGACAACCTGCTCCTCACGGCGACGCGGCACCGCACGATGAGCCCGCTGCGTGACGCGGTGCAGTCCGCGCGCATTAAGGGCTTCACTGCAGAGGACATCTTTCATACATTTGTCCTCGCCTGTGACATGCTGCACGGGAGACGGCAGCTTCGCCCGTTGCTCATGCAGAGCCTCAGCGATCTGGGGAAAATGGCCTCGCTGCGAATGTTGCCCATGTCATGCAGCGTCATCCACGTCATATGTCGCCTCGTGCAGAAGCTGCTGGGGCGTACTCAGGGCGGGAGTCTCAACCTGTTGCAGGGCGGTCTCCGCAGCACAACGGCGTGGGGGTGGAGTAGCAGGGATAGTCTCGCCGGCACCTTGCTCTTGGACGCGGGGGCTGCGCCGGAGGTGGCGGAGTTGCGTGAGGGGTCCATTTCGGTGGCACCTGGCGCGGGCGACGTGGCGATGGATGCGCAGCCGCCGGACGAAGAGCTGCAGATGCGCATCCTGCAGACACTCATGGCATACCTCTCGGCCTGCGAACTCGGCAATGCCGCGCTGTCGGACATTATTAGTGTTCTCTTCCTCATGTACATGCAGGCGGCACCTGGGTCCCTGGTGGAGGCGACGTGTGCAGCCACCATCGAGGAACGCACACAGGCGCTGCTTCGCTGCCTGCGCAGCGGCGGGGACGCCAGGCAGGGCGAGGACGACAACTCAGCCTTTACGGCGCAGATTCAGGCCGTGGCGTATGCGAAGGATGTGTGCGCGCTCTGCGCCGGGGCCGCGCCCAAGTGGCTCAAGTTGGACGCGCCACGCAGCAGCTCCATCTCCACTGGGCCCGTGGACGTCCTCGCCGCACCGGTGGGGGCGCCACCACCGGCACCACGTCGACTGCGGCTTCTGCTCCTGCGCACGCTGACTGCCCACTTCGCTGAGGGTGAGCGGATTACGTCTACACATGAGGCCAGCGTCTTCCTCACGCAGCTCCTCAACGAGGACGTGGTGTCGGTGGTGCTGGGTCGCGTGCGAAGTCAATCGCACTCGCAGCGTGCGCCTGGTGAGTCGAACTTAGAGCAGCCTGCGGAGCCAAACCTTGTGGACCTGGTGTCCCCCAACGACGAGCTCCCGGACGCCGAGGAGTTCGCCCTCATGCAGCAGCTTGGGGTCGTGGCGCTGTCCAAGGCGCTGCCGGTGATGCGGCACGCCATGCCGGTAGTCCTGCGCCACCACGTCATGCTTGTCAAGCTCTGCGGCGAGGAGGACGGTGGGGAGGTTGGGGAGAACGCGCGGCGCATGGCCGTGGTGCTGACGCTGTGGCGAAAGGCCATCGCGGATCACGAGCTGCTGCAGCAGCTGCTCCTGCTCACCGCCTCCAGTAGTGCCTTGCTCCCAGCTGCGCTGCCAACCGCCTCGCCGCCGGGGCCAACGCCGTCGCAGCGGCACGAAACCCAACAGCAACAACAGCAGCAGCAGCAGCAGGCACGCGCGTCGGAGGATGGCGCGGCGGCCGCGTTGCTGAATCCTTTCACCGACCCCGAGGATGTGGCAGCGGAGGGTGCAAGCGGCATGCACCCCTTTGCAGACCTGGTCACCCTCACGGCGGAACTTCTCTCGGACGTCATCATTGCCTCGGAGGGGACACTGAACCTGGACCACCCCAAGGCAACCGCGGGGCGGCCCCGCCCCGCCACCGCGAGTGTTGTGGGCGGCGAGCACCCCTGGGGTGCCCTCTCCACCGCCTTTTCCCGCCCCTTGCAGCTGCCGAGTACACTGAGGCCGGCGCGGGAGCAGGAGGACGGCGAGGGCGCCTCACATGGGCGGGGGCCGAATAACGGCACGGAGACGCGCCACCCGGCGACGGCGCAGGCGGCGGACGTGCTCAGCTTCCTGACGATGTTCACGCAGAGCTTTGCCCGGGTGGTGGAGGCGTCGCGGCTGGGAGAGGCCGTGAATGCGCCGCAGAGTCGTACCACCGACGTCGGCGCGCGCGCGGCGGGGGTGGCCGCCCTATTCACCTCGCTGCACGCCCCGCTCCTGCGCTGCTTTGCCCTCGCGGCGCAGCATCTTCAGGGGGACGACGTGATCCACATGGTCCTCAAGGGCACCACACACCTCGTGCAGACCTCCTGCAACCTTGCCCTCCCCGTCCAGCGCGACAGCTACCTGCAGATATTCGTGACACGACTCTACATGCCGCCCGAGCGGCGCCACCCGGTGGAGGGCGAAGCGACGAGATCGCAGCAGCGGAGGCCCGTCTCAGACGAGTCGGCATCTCCGGCGCCATCCACCCGATCCCCGCCGCTTGCTGGCCGTGGTCGGACGTTGCCAGGTAAGACGACGCCGGAGATGCAGTCTGCCACCACCGCCGCCGCTCTGAATCGCTCGCTAGAGGCACTGCAGGAGAAGCTGTACGTCCTAAACTGTGTGATCTCCGTTGCAAATTGCATGGGTGCCTCCCTTGGCGAGGGGTGGCGGCCCGTGGCCTCCTGTCTGCTGCTGACGGAACCTCTCCTGAAGGAGGTTCACAGCATGTTGGAGCAGCAGCAGCGGCAGTCGCAGTATGAGGCCGTGGACGACATCGCCGTGCAGGACGTCTCGCGAAATGCAGGCCGCGTCCGTGATGCGCTGCACCTCCTCTTTATTCACACCGCCCTCTTGCCAGACGGGGTGGCGTTGGAGGGTATTTTGAAGAGCTTTGTCACGGAGACCTGTCGCCGGTCTCCGTCCAGCTACCTGCCCTCACTGCGCATGAACAGTGAGTGCTGCTCGCTGGCACTTCTGACGGTCGCGGCCTGTCGTCCAGACGTCTCGCTTGCGCAGCTGCGGCGGCTGTGGTGTACGGTAAAGGCGCTTTACCTGCACGTCTTTGACCCTGCGAATCTTGTGGGGCTTGTCGAGGTCTGCCGTCACTCCGACCGCACGATGGAGGCGGTGGGAGGTGTGCTAGAGCGACTCGTGGAGGATATAGCCGTCGTGACGGCGCAGCTCTGCCAGCGCGTCAACAGCAGCGTGGGCGAAACGAAGGCGGAGCTGCAGCAGCAAGGAGAGGAAAAGGAGGAGGCGGTGGGGTTTCGCTTTGCGGCGGGGCCGTACGCCACGGCGGGTCTCGTTACGCGGCTTGCCACCTTGCTTCCCTCGCCCACGCGAGTTCAACAGGGCCCGGTCCGCGCAGAATCCCCTGCACACCACATGAGTGAGGCAGAGCCAGTGGCAGAGGCAGAGCCAGAGGCAGAGGCAGAGGTAGAGGCAGGGAGAAGGGAACTGCTTGCCGCGCCCACGGAGCTCCTCGCCATGATTTACGGACACCTGCAGGAGTCCCAGCAACGGCAGGAGGAGCCGCAGGGGGAGACGGAGGAGTTGGCCACGCACGTTGGTGAAGCAGTCGAGGCCGTTACGCGCGGGGCCGCCCTGGTGGTGCTGAAGGAGGTGTTGAAGCTTGTCCAGGGCTTTGGAGAGGAGCTGCGCGGGGCGGCGTGGGAGCACCTGCTGCGTCTGCTGCGGCACACCGCCGCGCCGTCCGGGGCGAGGTGGAACTCCGCCCCCACCACCGCCCCTCTAGCGAGCGTGAAGCAGAGCATCGGCATCGCCTTCCGCGCCCTGGAGACGATCCAGCACTCGTGCATCACAAGTCTCGATGACGAGGGGCTGCGGCAGCTCATCCGCTGCGGTGGGGCGTTTATGACGCACCACTTCCCCGGCTTCGAGCATCGCCTCAACATCAACCTCAGCGCTGTCCAGCTGTTGTGGTCCGTCGCCGACTACGTCGTCTCCAGAGAGACGGGGGAGAGCAAGAACGACGATCTGCTTTGGTGCACGCTGTTGCTACAGCTGTACGACGGCTGCCTTGACGTGCGCCCCGAGGTGCGGCAGAGTGCCCTTAAGACCCTCTTTTCGCTGCTGCAGACGTACGGCGGACGCCTCTCCGCGGAGTGCTGGCGGTGTGTCTTACTCGCCGTCTTGGCACCACTGATGGACGTCGCGCTGCAGGCTGCCACGACCTGTGCGGCGGCTGCGGACGCCCCCGCCGCACCGAGTGCCCCGCGCTCCCGCCGCTGCTCTGTGATGTCGCAGCACCTACGGCGCAGGTCCTCCGAGACGGGCTCCACGTCGCTCAGTGAGTCTGGGTCCGCTCAGTACGGTGGATACACCAGTGAAGAGGAATGGTGCATTTCCAGGCTCCTGACGCACCTTGGGAAGCAGCCCGCCCTTTTTGAGGACATGCGTGTCACGATAATGGACGCGGTGTGTCGGGTGTTTGCGTCTCACTATCAGGTGATGCACGCCGTTCTGGTTTTGAACTGCACTGATGCGCAGCGGCGCACGGACGGAGAGGTGCTGTTGCGTGAGACGCTCGCGCTCTTCATTGAGCTCTGCGGTACGTCCCGGCTGGTGGCACGCAACACGAGTGGGGAAAACGCCGCTCTCTCCGCCGTACGCGCGTTGCATGTCTTGATGACCGCCCCCGACCCTGCCTTGTTGACGGAAACCGAGCTGGAGACTGCGTGGATCGCGATAGAGCAGCTTCTGCACGGCGGTGGCAGTACCTCGGCACGCGCGTGGCCGAAGCAGTGCACCGCGGCTGTGGTGGCCACCATTGTCTCCTCTCTGGGCGATGTCGTGGCGATGCGGCTGGCGGGAAATGCACAGCAGCCGCATCGCCACGACACCGCGGCTGCGCCGGGGCCGCCGGCAACTGCCCCGGTAAGCGTGTCGCCGTCATTTTTTGCGCAGTTGTGTCACGCCTTTACTCCCAGCCCCTCCGGCCTGAGTAGCAGCGGCAGCAGGGGGCGTCACGACTACTTCCCGCACTACATGCGCCTCGTGCAGGAGTGCCTCTTCTCCCCTGCCGTCACGGAGTCCTACTTCTTCCCTGGCAGGGTGCAGTCGGCGGTCATTGGGGTCTGGAAGATGCTCTGGCCAGCGCTAAGTGCGCATGAGCGGGGCGCCGTCGTGAACGTTGCGCTGCAGCTGTTCCCAACGCGAGTCGCGGTAATGTCGTTTGTCACGCAACGCGTAACGCCGCGCGGTAAAAAACGAGCGTCGACGACAGAAACCCGAGCCGTGGCGGTAACAATAACGGAGCCCGCGGCCCCGCAAGAAGCAGAACCACTCGCGCGTCAACTCTCCTTGTCCGAGTCACTTCCGCCCGGATCTCACCCCAGTTTTCTCCTGGCGCTGCTGGAATTCCTTCGCGCCGTCGCCGGTGAGGAGGCGGTGGAGGCGCCGCAGCAGCAGGGGGCGTTCCACTCCAGTACGGCACCCGCCGTGCTGCGAGCGGCGGGTGTGTTGCTGCTGCTTGAGTATGCCTCGCCCGCGTCGCTGGCAGTGGCCGGTCCAGGGGTGCCGTTCCACATCCCACCCGACTTCTTTGACAGGGTGGAACGATGCCTCACCTCTTTTCTTGGGGACCTCCTCTGCGGTGAGGCCTCAAACCCCGCGTCCACACCACAACAGGCAGCGTCAACAGAAGCAGCAGCAGCAACGATGCGACCACTGGCGGTGCATGGCCGTTCTGACGCCTCTTCGGCGCCCCGTCGTGAGAGGCTGTTGGCGTTCGCCTCCGTCTTCTCGTCGCTGGTCGCCGTTGCCGACGCGCAGCTCGGCGCCACCGTCGGGACAGGGCCGCAAGGGGTTTCCTCGTACAACGAAGCCCCTGAACACCTGCGCGGGGCGCTGCAGCGCCTTGAGAGGTTTGTGCTGCTGCTAAGCGAGCTGCTTTCCACCGTCATTCGCCGCTCTGGGGATATGGCCTCCGCGACGGAGCTGCTCGCGGCGCTTGTGCCCGCCTCGTCACTGGAGTCCCCGCCGCTGGCCGCCGTCGCGAAGTGCAGCTTGGACGTGCTGCGCCGCTGGTCGTTGTCTCCCGCCTCCTCCTCCTCGCCGTCGTCGTCGTCGACGCTGCTGCTGCCGCCGCCGTCGTCGTTGTCGTCGCTGTCGCGCACGGAGGAGGATTGCGCGGCATCGGCGTCAGCGGTGGCGGCAGCAGTGGCCGGTGACGCTGACGCTGACGACGCCGCGCTGGAGGGGGAGAAGTTGAGTGGTCGGCTGAAGCGACTGGCACGGGCGTCGATGGGCGCCCGCAACCGGGCGGTGCTGCGCAGGTTCCTCGCCCACCCCGCCAACGAGGAGCTGCGGCAGATGATGAAGACGACGCTGCGGACCATTATTCTGCTGTACCCGCCCGGCCCCGCGCCCCAGCAGCCGCCGTCAGGGCGGCACTCGCCCGGGACAACTCCAGCACGCAGGGGCCACCACGCAGCGTCTGCCGAGGACACGGAGGAGGGGGAAAGGGAATTGCTGCAGGGCGATCTGGTGGAACTGGCCCGCCTTGTCGAGCTCACCGGCGAGGATGGGGAGTTTCGCTCTTTGCTGTCAAGAGCCATGTTGGGCATTTGTGCCTCCCTCGGCTTTTCTTCTTCGACCTAGCCGCAATTATTGTTTGCCGCCCGCGAGCATCCCCCCAGTGGGAGAGGAAATGGACGGGGGAGCCGAGCGCGTTGCCCTAATAGTGCCCTTGCTGTTTTTGCTTGTCTGCTTCGATACTTTTTTCCATTGTACGTGTGTATATGTGTATGTGTGTATAGCGCAATGCTCGCGTTGTTTTGCTTCTGCGGTCACGGATGTTCTTGATGGTCCCCTGCGTGCACAATGGGCTCGCGACGGAGGGCCCCCGCCATGCACGCGCGCCTTCAAGTGTAGCCGCTGGTTGGCTGCTCCCGCGATACCCGTTTGTTTGTTGTTGTTTTTTTGCGTGTGTGTGTGTTTTTTTGCGGCTTTGCTGCCGGCAGGGAGGCTCCTCCCTCACTTTCTCTATTTCTTTCCTTCTCTATTTCTTTCTTTCTTTCGCGCACGCAAACACGTTCCCACAAAGAGCGGGAATAGCAGGGGGCACACGCCGATTACCAAACGCCCTTGAGCGGCCGAAGGAACCGGGAGACGAGGAGGAAAGAAACAAAAAAGAAACAAAAAAAAAGGAAACGATATAAAAAAAAGGGGGGGGGCTGCGGCGGAGGAAGAAGACGGGGTGAGGGGATGTCGACGTCCGCGAAGGAGCTCCAGGCGCTGCGCAAGGAGGAGCTTGTGCAGTGGGTGCTGGAGTTGCAGGAGGAGAATGTCAGTCTGCAGCGTGAGGTGGAGGAGCTGCGGCGGTGCTCGCCCCGCAGCAAACACCTCGACGTCAACAGCCTCCGGCCGCTGCGGCGGGAGTCGGGGGGGCTGCGCTGCGGGACCCCCACGCGGGCCGGCGCAGCCTCCCCAAACGGCAAGGGCAGCACCTACACGCTGTCCTTCTCCGTGATGTTGATTGAGAACGGCACCGCCATCTCGGTGCCGCTCTCCTCTGTGATAGACAAAAGCTACATGCGCCCCGACCTCCGCGACGCCGACACGCCTGTGGTGGCCTCGTCCTTGATGCGGGACGACTACGACGCGGAGTCGTTTCCGCGCCACTCGGTGGGTAGCCTGCAGATGGAGCGCTCCCCCAGCGCGAGCGTCGAGGAGCCGCTTGGGCGCAGCAGCGAGCTGCGCGGGTTTGGCGGCGGCGCGTGTGCAGCGCCGTCGGTGGCGAGTAGCGGGGCGGGCCCGGGCCCGAGCGTAAGCGGGAGCGGGGGCGGCCGGCCGTCCATTTCGTTTGACTTCGTCCCCTCCGACGACGCCAACGAGCCCGCGCCGCAGGACCCCGCGTCGGGTCAGCCGCCCCTCACCGCGCAGCAGCTGGAGCGGGGCCTGCAGGGGCAGGAGGCGCGGCATCGGAGCATTCGTCACGAGCTGCGGCGCCTGAGTTTAGGGCGCGTTCTGAATAAACGCTCGGTTTCGTTAGACGCGGATGCGCTCGTGTCGTGTCAGACGCTGCGCACCTTCCACCGGCAGATGCTGGAGGGGGTCAGGGGGCTCTCCCCGCTCTCGTCCCACGGCAACGCCATTTACCACTACATTGTGAAGAACTTTGCGGTCCGCAACGGCTGCCGGCACAGCCCCGGCGACGTGGAGGGCTTCGGCCGCACCCTGTGCAGCCTCTGCGGGGAGGTAAAGGCGCTCCTGCAGAGCGAACCCCGCCACGGCAGCACGGTGTCGCCGTGCTACGTCTTTGGCGACCTGCACGGCAACTTTCTGGACCTCTTCTACTTCCTGGACAACCTCATCTCGTTTCAGGACCTGCGCTACACCCCACACCGCTTTCTCTTCCTTGGCGACTACGTGGATCGCGGGGACTTCAGCGTGGAGGTGGTGGCGTACCTCTTCTCCATGAAGGTGCTGGCCCCGGAGAAGGTGCTGCTGCTGCGCGGCAACCACGAGGACACGCTCGTCAGCGGCGACATCTCCGGCTACGGCAACACCAGCTTCCGGGCCCAGTGCCGCAACCTCTTTGGCCACGCCCTCGGCGAGGAGCTGTGGCAGCGGGCGAGCGAGACCTTTGCGTACCTCCCCCTCACGGCGAACATTGACGGCCGCATTTTCTGCGCCCACGGCGGCATCCCACGCTACCGCGGCGGCGTGGACGACAGAATGCAGGTCCTCTGCCGCGACGACTTTCCCGCGCTGGAGACGCTCTTCAACGTCCCAGAGGAGGAGAGTCCGCGGGCGCGCATGTGCCGGCAGATGGCCATCGACACCTGCTGGGCCGACCCCGCCGAGGACGAGGGAGCGCTGGACAAGTGGGGCTTCGGCGCCAACCCGCGGGGCTCCGGCGTCATCCTCTTCGGCTCCGCCGCCGTGGACCAGTTCCTTGCGAACTACAACTTCGAGTACATCTTCCGCGCCCACCAGGAGAAGTCGGATGGGCTGAAGCTCAGCAAGAGTGCGCGGGTGTTTACGATATTCAGCACCAGCGCGTACGTGGGGCACGAAAACGGTGCCGGGGTCGTGCTCGTTGCGGATGGAAAGATTCGCCTGATCATCAAAAGCGCCGACGACTGTGCTCAGGCGGGCGACGAGGAGGAAGAGGAGGAGGACGGCGAGGACGGCGACGGCGGCACGGACACGAGGCAGTAAGCCGTGGCCAGCGCAGGTGAGGCGCCCTCACCCCCTCCGTGCGGGTACGCATCGCTGGGCTGCCGCATTTGTCGCGTCCGCCTCCTCCAGGCAGCCCGCTGAGGGCGGCGGTGTGCGTGTGTACGAAATGGGGGGTTGGTGCAGGGCCGCAGCGCGCACACACGCATGTAGCGTGGCTGGTAGGGTAGCTGGGGAAGGGGCGTCGTGGTGGCGAGGGAGGAGAGGGAGAAGGTAGCGCAAGCGCACATCAAGGACGAGAAGTAAGCGACGGATAAATTCACGGCTCCCGCAGGCAGCGGAGCGTAGAGGGAAGCGGAAGGTTTGTAGTTATATATTTATATGATTTGCGCGTGTGTGTTTGTATTGGCCGTCCCCCTCCGAGGAAGCCACTTGTTGTTGTTGTTGTTGTTTTTCCTTATTTGCTGCTGTTGCTGAGGGGTTTTTTTTCTGCGAATTCCTTCGCGATTACGCCTCCGTTGTTGTCCCTTAACCGGCTGGGTGGGGGAAAGGAGAGAGAGAGAGAGAGAGGCGTCTGGCCGCCGCCGGCATTGTTAACGTTTGTATCGGCCCACTTACACCTTGCTCCGTGGCGGGGGGAAGGCCGAGGGGAATTCCCTCCTCGCTGCGTGGGCAGCAGGTGCCTCCTCCCGCCAACGGGGCGGTGGGGGAAGATGCAGACGCCACGCCCGCACACACACACTCATACGTATATATATAATATATATATATATAAACATGTATGTGTGCGGAGGCCCCGGTCGTCGCACAGCACCTCGTCTCACTTCTGCGAGGCATTTTACTTCATGTGTGGGCCTTGACTTCTTTCTTTCTTTTTTTTTATTGATTTTTCTCCGTCTTGGTCCCCACCACCACCACCCCCTCCAAACAGTCAGTGAGGCAAAGGATATTTACTTACAGTACTACGCGTGTGAGGAACGGGCGACCGAACACGCACGCACAAATCGAGTTATTTCTTGCACCCGCGGCGGAGCTTCGCCGGGAGACACGCGACCGCTGCGGCGAAGGAGGGCGTCGAAGCAATGCGGACGTGTGAGTATAAAAAGGTGCGTGGCTGCTCGCTAAAGCCGGGACGGCGCGAGCTGCGGCTGGACCCCGGCCTTCGTGTGTCGTCGTTGTTCGCAAACTTCCCCGAGCAGAAGCGGAACGTGGTGCGCGTGTTTGACGAGGACGGGGGTCTGAGGACGCGCGAGGTCGGGGTGAAGCGGTTCCAGTTCGCGCGCCTCTCCGTCTTCTACACGCTGCGCTCCCTGACGTGGCCGCTCCTCTGCACCTACCTGTTTCTGCTCTACCTCGCCGTCCTCTTCGTCTTTGCGGCGTTGTACCTCGCCTGGGGCGACGCGTGCGGGGCGTGGCAGGACACCACGTGGACGACGGCGCTCTACTTCACCGTCGTGAGCCTCGCGGCGAACGGCGGGTACTTTGGTGAGCCGGCCGACACGATGCTGTCCCCCGCCCACCCCTGCTTCTCCGGCCGCACCTTTCTTGTGATGATGCTCTCCTACACCAACATCATCTTCGTCGGGCTGGTGGCGGCCCTCGTTGTGGGGAAGGCGCAGTACAGCGGGCGGCTCGGCCAGCGCGTCGTGTTCAGCGAATTCTGCTCCCTCACGCCGCTGCCCGGGCACCGGGGCCGCAGATGGGGCCTCACCTTCCGCATGGCAAACAGCAGCGCGCGGCAGCCGCTGGCGCACGGACGGCTGCGGGTGTTTATCGTCACTGCGGAGCCGCTCAAGGAGACCAGCATGATGCACGTCGCAGCGGCGCCTGAGAGGCCGCGGCGCGGCAAAGGCGGCGGCGGCGGACGCCAACGACCTCAAATCGTGCCGCCGTCAACCGCGGAACCACCGCGTGAATCGCGGGAGGCAAGCGCCTGCTATTTCTCCTGCACGGAAACGCCGCAGGGGGAGGCCCGCAGGACGTCCGAGCGTGGCAAGCGACAGCGCCTTCGCCGTCAGAGGGGGCAGCAACCCTCAGAGACGTGTGGAGACCCGACGGAGGAAGGCGCGGAGGGCGAGGAGGCGCGGGCGACGGATGTCGACCTCCGGTCGGCGACTGAACTCGGCAGCAGCAGCGCGACTGGGGTGGAGGCTGGGGCCCAGCGGCACGGGGTGTGCGATTCGCCACCCCCCACCGCAGCAGGGCCAGAGCCTGCACAGCGCCAGGAGCAGCCTTTGCAGCAGCAATATTCTGTCACGCAGCACCCCGTCGCCGCTGCTGGTGCTGGTGCTGGTGTCTCCTCCGGCTACTCCGAGGTGCACATCCCCGTGGCGGCAAGCTGTGGCGCCGGCGGCAACGACGACAGCAATGAGGACGATGATGGCTTTGAAGGGGTCGACATTCGCGTGGAGGAGCTGCGCTGGACATGCCCTAATGAGCGGTACCTGGAGGCGCGCCAAGGCCAACTCTCACTCTGGGTTCCGGTGAGCATCACGCACGTCATTGACCGCCGCAGTCCCCTTTACCGCTACTTGGGGCACGAGGGGGCGGACGACGCGGCACCCTCCTCGCAAACGCTCCTCGCTGAGCCGGCGGCGGCGACGGCGACGACGAGGACGACGGGCTCCCTGCACTCATTTCAGATCGTCGCCACGTTTGACGCGACCGAGATGGAGAGCGGGGCCACCATCATGGCAAAGCGCACCTACACGGCGAACGACATCGTCGCACATTATCGGTTTTCGAACAAGGTTGTGCTTATGCGGCCTGGCAGCCGTGAGGTGTTGGTGGACTACCACTACTTCAACGAGCTGCTTCCTGCGCCCACGAGGTCGTCTGCCGCCGCCGACGGCGATGCACCGCATTTGAAGGCGGGGCCTGGTTAGCATTACAGCGACCGCCCTCGTTGGGTTTGGTCTCCTTCCTTTTTTTTTTTTTCTATCCTCTTCTCTCTGTGTGTGAGTGTAGGTGTGGAGCATGTTTCGCGGGCACCTCGAGGAGGGGCGGGATGGACGCCCCTCCCGGCCTTCCGGCCGTCGTTTCATGTGTTCCTCTCCTCCTCCACCCAAAGAACGAAAAGAAAGAAAACTGCGCGGGTGTGACGACAAACGGGCGAATGACGGGGAAAAGAAAATAAAAAACGGAATACACTTACTGCGGATGCGTGGCGTGATGAGTTGCTCCGACGCTGCAGTATTTCATGAAGGGCCTCCAGAAGGAATGGCCACGCCTCGCGGATGTGTGTTGCCGGCGCCCGCTCACGGGGTCGTCCTGCCCAACTTCACCTACTGCCGCCGTAGACACGCACGCGGAGGGCTCGGCCCTCCCCCGCCCCTTTGCGTCCTTGGTGGATGATCCTCAGCCGCAAAGGCGCCGCCTTCGACTCGCTCGCCCCCGCTTCCTGCAGGAAATGTTATTGTGATCGGTGCCACCGACGGCTTGGGAAACGCGTCATGTAATTCATCTTTTTTTTGTTTGTTTGTTTGTTTGTTGTTGGCTTGTCCGCTTGGATATACGGTGTGAGGAGGTGTAGGTCTTAGATTCCTCTACATTTTTTTTCTCCTTTTTCGTGTTTTGAGGCGGTGTGGGGCCGCACTTGTCGAAAGAAGGAGGGAAGATCCGTTCGTATTGCGTTTTCTTTCGGGTCCGAGGCGCTAGTTGTGCGTCTTGCTCTGCGTTGTTGTCCTCCTCATGCATTTTTTTTGTTGTTTTTGCTGTCTCCTTCTCTTCGGCTGCTGTTTCTCTTGGCGGTGGTGGCCGCGTCCACGCTCGGCCTGCGGTGCGGCGCGGCGACAGACCACTGCGTTTTGTCGGGGCGCAACTCGGGCATGGAGAAGTACAGAAAGTTCGGGGACGCCGCAACCGGCATCAACCCCTTCGTGCTGGTGCAGTCGCCCACGACGCTTTCCGTGGCGACTGCCGCGGCAGTCTTTCCCCTGCGCCTTGCGGGGGCAGTGCTGCTGCTGCCGCTGCTCTTTCTGCTTGACGCGCTGGCGTACGTCTTCTTCCTCGTCCCTGGCACGTCGTGTGTGGTGCGGCTGCTGCTTGCGCCCTGCCAGCGGGCCCTGCTGCAGGGACTGCTCTTGACAGCCGGCAACCTCGGCGTCGCGCGGGAGTCGCCGCCGGCGGTGGCGGTGGCAGACGCCGCAACTCCGGCGGCGGGGGACGTGGTGGTGGCGAACATGCAGTCTGCGTGGGACATGTGCGTGCTGGAGGTGGCTGGGCGGCTGCCGCTTTGCGTGGTCGCTTTCTACGCCGGAGGAGCCGCCGCAGACGCGAAGAAGGCGGACGGCGACGGGCCGCTGCTGGTGTTGGGGCCCTCTCCGCTGCAGCGCTGGCGCGTGTGGTGGCACATTTACGGCACGGGGTCCATCGAGTTCCTCCGCGCCGCGGCCGCTGCCGACGGTGGCGGTGGCTCCGGCGGCCGCAATGAGCCGGTCGTCGACCTCACGGCACTGCAGCGGCGGTGCGAGCGCCTCGGTGTGCCGCTCGTCTTCTTCCCCGAGGGCAGCTGCACGAACGGCAAGGGGATGTTGCGCACCGCCCCGCTGCGGGTCCGCGCCGCCCCGCGCCGCGTCTTCGTCGCCGCCGTCGACTACGACACCACTGCGGTGCACACGGTGCTGCGCCCACGTCGGCTGCTGTCCTTTTTCTTCGCCATGAGTGCCTCGCTGCACGGCAGCCGCGACCCGGCGTGGCGCAGCCCGCCCTTCCCCGCAGCCACCGTGCGGCTGGCGGCGCTGACGGCGGGCCCGACGAGCGCCGCGGAGGGCACTGGCGCCGTCGTGTGGGAAAGCTCGAAGGTGCGGCAGGCGTTGTGCGCCGCGTCCAGCTCGCGGCGGGCGTTGGCGGTTGGCCTGCGCGAGAAGTGCGGCTACGCGGAGGCGTGCGAGGGCGCGAGGGCGGCGGGCGTCCCCAAGTGACAGACGCGCAACTTAACTGCCGCCCGCCACGCACGGCCGCAGGGGCGCATAGTCTGAGGAGCCTCGTAGCCCCAACGAAGATGTAACGTTGAGTTGATGGAAAAGGAAGATGGAAAATAATTCTTTTTTTTTTAGTATGCAAAGAAAGAAAAAAAAAGAAACGCCTCTGCATTCCGGTCGGTTGCTTCTTTCTTCTTTTTCATCCTCTGCTTCCGCTTCTTCTGCGTTTGTCACTCTTCGTGCCGCGGTTGCCTCTCCTGCCTGCAAGGTCGTCTGCGGTGTGGGCAGCCACGGCGCAATGTCGCAGCAGCCAACACACCGCTACCACAAGTTGCCGTGGTGGAAGCGGATTGCGCTCGACCGGGCGTACCGGCAGCGCGTTAGGAACCTCGCGACGCAGCGCTACCGTGCGGAGATGCAGCTGCTGCAGTACGCCCCCTGCGAGGTGGCCGCCGCCGCGTGGGACGATGGCCGTCCGATCCCCCACTCATCACAGTACATCTGCGTGGAGGAGGAGTCGTGTGCGTGGGCCACGCGGCACCCGGAGAGCATGGCGAAGGTCTCCGCCTTCCGCAACCTGCGAACGGCGGCGGCGGCGGTCGTCATTGCCGGCAGCCGCACGGAGGAGCGGGAGGCGGAGATTATCGCGGAGGTCAAGCAGCTGTACGACGCCGAGGCGGCCTCGGAGCGCCTCTACGGGCTGTCGTACGTCTGGAATCGTCCACTCCCGCCAAACGGCTTCATTCGTGTGTGGCCTAGCCCGATCTCCGCCATGTGGCCCGCGCTGCTGGCGGCGGAGGTCGCCGTGCCTCCGCACGTGACACTGTCAGCCCCGGGGAGCCATGTCGCGCTGCCGCCGGGGATGAAACCCGCGTGCCTGACCGACCCCCTCTGCGTCAACGTTTTTCGCCGGAGTGGCGAGTACCTCGGGGCGTGGCGCCAGTCGCTGTTTCTCGTTCGCTTCAAAGTCATTTGCTGGGCGCTGCACGAGGAGGAGCGGCGGCGCACCTGCGGCGTGGTGGGCCGCCCGGTGCTTGCCTCAGACAAGGCAATCCCGGCCGCTGCCTGTGGGCGAACGCTAAGAAATGTTCCGGTGTTTCCGCTGCCGCTGCTGCGCCTGCAGCGCGGGACGGCCACCTTCAGTGAAAAGACGTGCCGCCTCAACCTCCACAGCCTCCACGCACCGCTGACGTGGGAAGGCATCGCCCCCGCCCCCTCCACCTACCGGGCAGAGCAGGCGTACCAGAACTGGCACGCGCTGCACCGGAGCTCGGCGGTGGTGCGACAGGCCGTGCGAGACGTGTTTAATCTGTTGGCGCATAACGAGCGAGGGCTGCTGACGAAGACCACGTATGTCGCGTTCGTTCTGGACCTGCTCAACCTCTTCTTCCCAACCCGCATCTCTTCTGCCAACATTGCCATTGCGGAGGAGGAGTGGGTGTACCGCGGCACCACGGACTTGGTCAGCTTTGAGACCTTCTACGAGAAGTTCTTTAGCTTCCCGTTCATCTTCCTGCGCGACCTCAACACCGTGACGCGGGATCAGTACGTGGAGGTGTGGTGCCTGATTCGCGTCTGCCTGCTGGAGGACGCGGAATCCATCACCTCCAACATGCGCAGAACGGTCGCCTTGGCGTCGTCCACCACCAAGTCAGCTGGCACAGCGTCTCTCAACACGACGGTGACGGCGGCCCACGTTGCGGCGACGCGCATCACAGGCTACAGCCGCCCACGCCGGCCCATGACGGTGCTGGAGGCCACCCTCTGCTCCATGGACAAGTTGAAGAACTTGGGGCGGCGTGAGGTGCTGCCGCTCATTGGGGACATACATGGCGTCACCCGGGAGGACGTGCTGCTGCTAGGGGAGAGGGACTTCCACAACACGGACAACTACGCACTGCACGAGGCGCGGCAGGCGGCGGCGGCGGCGATGCTTCAGAAGGAGCGGCGTGCCTTGTCGCCCGCCCAGTTGACGGCTGTAGTGCATGCGCGGGGGAAACAGCTGCTGTCGAGGGTCTCCAGGGCCGTGCGCCGGCAGCAGATGCAGGAGGAGGCCCAGAGGCTGCAGAGCTGCGGCACCGACGGACGCCGGAGCACGGACAGCGAGGAGAACAGCGTCGCCGCGTACGAGGGCCTCAAGCTCGACGAGGAGAAGGCCGCGGATGAGGACGGCACCTCGTCGATCCACAGCCGCAGCTTCTCTGTGCCTCGCTCTCGGCAGGAGAAGCGGGGAGCCAAGGCGGGGTGGACGGACGGGACAGTGGGGCGCCGCGCGGCGTTGGAGAAGATTGAGGAGGAGCGCGTGAGGAAGCAGCTGCTGGAGACCTCGGTGCTTTACCGGCATCGCCGCATGCGGCGGCACACCGAGCACGCCAAGGTCCTCTCGCACGTCTCCCGCAGCCACAGCGCGTGGGAGTTGTACCGGCAGGACGTCTTTGATCTCCCGCACGAGTCGCAGGAGGAGGAGGACCAGCTGTTGGCGTTTGTGCGGGACCTCCCGGACGACTTCTTCGAGGACACCAATTCGCTGCGGGTGCGCTACGGCGTCTACGCGGCCCGCCTCCGCGCGGTTGCGGAGCGCGCCCGACACGACAATCCCCTTGCGACGGGGCCCCTGTCGCCGGCGCTGCTGCAGACAAACTTCTCGAACACGTTCAGCGGCGCCGAGTTGGACTCGAACTCCTCCTACTTGTCGCCCAGCACCCCACTCCGCGGCGTGCTGCCGTCCAGCCGTGCCTTGAAGTTGGGGCGCAGGCCGTTGCCTGGAGCAACAGGCCAGCTCTCGTCTGCCTCCAACTTGTCGCGGATGAGCGTGGAGAAGGCAGGCGCGTCGTTAGTGGAGGAGAGGAAGGCAGCGTCTCCGACGCCGTCGCTGGCCTCCGGCGCCGCGGCCAGGCGAAACCCGGCCGACGAGGCGAGCGGCGACAGGGACGGCAACGAGGTGAGTCTGCGGCGACGGGAGGCGGTGGAGCCAGGGCGAGCGATGCATCTTCGGCTGCAGCTAAAACAGGAGCTGGACCGTCGCTATGAGGCAATGCTGGCGAGGCGGCCGCGCCGCCTGCTTCCATCTGCTGCGATCACCGCGGGGAAAAAGGGTGCCGCCACGGGGCGAAGCCACGTCGGGGTGGGCGCCCGTCGGCGGTTGCCCCAACAGGGTGCTTGAGATGTATATTTATTACTATTACTGTTATTGTTATTGTTGTGCTGTACTCGGTGAAAAGCGAGGGGAAATGCATTTTCTCTTCTTGTGGCAGCTTTCTTCAGTGAGTGTTGGCGCCGACGGGAGCGCCGCCAAGAGAGTTGCGCGTGTAAATGGCTGCGTCTATGGTCCTCCTTTTATCTCTTTCCTTTTGTGCCTTTTTTTTATGTGTGATGATGTAGTGTTGGGCAGGGATGCTGGTCGACGCGTGCCCCATGGAGTCGAGATCGAAAGAGCGGGGGCCCATTGTAAAGAGCGTGTGCCTTTGGTTGCGTGTTTTTGCAGCTTTTCTTTTTCTTGGTCTTTCTCTCCCTCTCTCTCTTCCGCTCATTCTCCTCCTTTTCGGTTTTATTCCCTTCTGCTTGCGGTTGTTGCCGTTGTGGAGGAGACCAATGAAATCCTTGACTCATGTACGTACGCCTGTGCAGGCGGCTGGCTTGCGTGCCGCCGTTGTTTTTTTTCATCTGCGCTTGGGGTTGCTGTCGTTGTTGTTGACTTGCCGCACGCGACGGAGGGAGTGCAGTCTGCAGCGGCGCTGCCTCCGCCTCCGCGCCACTCGCTCCCCTGCGTCTCCCCTCTTCTCTCCTCCTGATTTTGTTTGCCTGCGTGCAGCATGGCTGTCGGGGGCGGCGTTCTGACGCCGTCGACGGCGGGGGCGCAGATCATCCACTTGGCCTCCCGCCTCGTTCTTGGCGTGCGGCTCCACGGCACCATCGCCGCCCTCAGCCCGCGCGGCGGCGGCAGCCGCCTGAAGTGCCGCCCGTTCCTCCGCTACTTCGCCGAGACGCTGCGGCGGCTCCGCTGCGATGTGACGCTCTTCCTCCCCATCACCGCCCGCGCCGGGGCGCCGCTCAGCGACGCGGAGTTCCCGTGCGTCTACCGCGTGGTGGATGACCCGACGGCGGGGCCGGCGGCGGCTGGCCGCAGGGCGGCGCGGGCGAACTTCCAGGACCTCCTCGGCCGCATCGCGGCGGAGCAGCAGACGTCGCCGAGCCGCATTTTATTCATTGAGTCCGAGATCAACTGCCGCTTCAGCCCCGTGCAGACGCTGGTGGTGGAGGCGTTTCAGCCGCAGCGCATTCGTCAACAGCGGCGACGAGCGGCAGCGGCGGGGGCCTCTGAGGCGGCGGCTGCGGGGCAATACCACGCCGCGCTGCTGGAGTCCGAGTACACGTGGACGCAGGGGCGCCGGGAGCCGCGTCCGCGTCCCGCGCCGCACTCGCTGCCGTTTTCCGCGGAGCTGCACGGCGAGGCGCGGGAGGGGGCCCGGGATGACGTGCGCGCCGCGGCGCTTGCGATCAACCGCGAGGACTACACGCTGGTGGCGCTGGCCGGGATGCTGGTGGAGCTCGCCGCGGCCGACGTTGCCGTGGCGGAGTACCTGCGCGTGGAGCCGCTGGTGGAGAAGCTCTCGGTGCCCTTCCATGGCGAGGTGAACTACCTCCCGGCGGAGAACTGCGACGACATGGAGCAGTGGGACTGGGCCGCCGTGGAGGTGCGGGAGGCGGCGGCGCAGGAGGCGGCGGCGGTTGTGCCGGACGTGGAGGAGCGGGCGGAGCACAAGGACTTGTTCAAGTGAGACAATGACTCACACCTGCATGCATATATATATATATATACATATACAAAAATATTTACACACACACACACGCACCCTTCCGTTCTCGCCCCGCCACGCCTGCGCATGTGTGTGTATTGTCTGTCTGTGTCTGTTGTACTGCCCCCCGCTTCCCCCCGCCTATGCGTCTCCGCTGGAAGGAATCCTTCAAGGGAGCAAAGCAGCCACCACAAGGCCAAGAACAAAAAAAAAAGTGTGAGGCAAGGAAAGCCGTAGTGGACCCACAGCAGCTAAGAAGAAGAAGAGGCTGTAGAAGACAAAAAGCAGGAGCGAGGAAACACATCGCGAGTAGAGCCGCGCGAGGGCACTTATAGCTATACATATACATATATATATATAATCTCTCTCTCTCTCTGTGTGTGTGTGTGTGCATACCCATCATCATCGTCATCGTCGGCGGCAGCAGCAGCAGCAGCGTTGCGGCTGTTCCTTTAGAGAGCGCGAGGTCGCCGCGGCAGTGAAGGTAGCAGTAAGAAAGAGAGCAGGGGGGAGGCAGCGGTGAGAAGTTCCAAACAAAACAAGAAGAAAGAGGAGAGAGAGGAGAACAAAAGCACGAAGACAAAAAAAAAAAACAGGAAGGATGAGCACGTCGCTGGTGACACTTCCCAACGTTCTCTCCTCGGACTGCACGTACTACGCCGGGGACCCGGAGCTGCTGAGGAGCGAGCGGTACGCGGAGCGCGTCGCGAAGCTGCTACAGTCGGAGAAGGCGGACCTTCTCGCCGCCCGCGTCGCGATCCACGCCCAGCTGCGGGACGCCTTCAAGAACGACAATGTGCAGCAGATGCTGCAGCCGTACCTCCGCCCGGAGGAGAACTTTCAGGCGTTGCTTGACGACGCCAAGAGCCGCGCCAAGTTCTTCTCGCGGAAGCAGCAGGAGCTGCAGGCGGACGTCATGGCCAGCGCGGAGCAGGTGGCGCTGCGGGAGGCCCATCGCGAGTTGGCCGCGTGGGAGCGGGAGAACGCGGTGCTGCTGCGGCACCAGATGTTTATGACCTACACCCCCGCCATGACGCTGCTGCTGGAGAGCGCCGCCACGATTGCCCTCTACCGCCAGTACTCCGCCCTTGAGGAGGGCGACTACACGAGCGAGAGCAGCTGCGGGGAGGTGCCGGCGCAGCTGGTAAAGATGGGCGGCAGGCCGCTTTTCACCGTGCAGGATCCCGGCACGGCGTTTGAGGTGGACGAGCACACCAAGATGTTCTCCCAGCACGTCCTGCAGAACAAGCGGGTGGAGTACGAGGAGAAGCGGGCGTTGGTGGTGCAGCGGCGGAAGCAGCTGGAGGAGTGCCCCTCGCTGCAGCGCCTGCAGGAGTTTATCAACACCCGCAACGACATTTTTCGCACGTACGGCATTGACCGGCTTGTCTCCCTCCGCGTACGCCGGGACAAGGCGCTTGCCGAGCCGTACGAGGGCGGCGAGGACGCGACGGTGGCCGGGCTGCCGCCCTCAAACGAGATCATGAAAAGCCGCCGTGTGGCGCAGTACTCGCTGGCCAAGATTGTGGAGCAGTGCCACAAGAACTACGTCAGCATCCTCACCACGGAGGACTGGGATGCCATGATGTCGAGCACGAACCTCGACAGCCGTGACACGCTGCAGCGGCTGAAGCCGTTGAGGGACCTCGAGACCTTCCGGTACTGGTTCCTCGCCTGCATCACGGCGGATGCCCCGCAGCTTGGGCCCAACAAGCTGGTAGGAAAAAACCCTACCCCCGTCGAGGAGTACAAGAAGCTCTGGCAGCCGCTAAAGACCAACTACGTCCCCTCGCTGAACACGGCGCACAGGCAGCAGTTCAAGGCGCTGGCGGGCCGCTGCGGGTTTCCGCACATCGTCGTCCTCTCCCCCGTCACCTACTCCTACATGCAGAACAACGACCCTAACTCGATTGTGAAGGGGGAATTGGACATGGTAGTGTACGATCAAACCAACGAGAAGGTCCTGCTGATGGTTGCCAACTCCCACGACGAGCGCCGCCCACGCGGGGCCTTCCTGCACGGGCAGGAGGAGCGCTACCGCTTTGCCGCCGTCATTCGCGCCGCGATCACCAACGACAACGAGTTGTACGACTTTCAGTGCCAGGGGACGGTGGCGGAGTACTTCTTCGACCCGGAGTCCGGCTCGGAGGAGAACTACTACTGTATCATGGCCCCCATCAAGATCTCGCATAAGGTGTCCGCCGTCGTCAACGTGCCGGTGCTGGCCCTGCGCCCGTTTACCACCTGTCCGCCGCGGTACTTTCTTCTAGGCTCGAACTGGGGCGCCAGTTCCGGCAACGAGAGGAACCCCTACGCCGTCTCCTACACGCACGCCGAGCTAAACGAGGACGCCATTGTCATGCAGCAGAGCATCTCAGAGGGATTCATTCAGAAGAATGTCATGCCGCAGCTCCTCACGCGAAAGGAGGGGCTCGAGATTATGAAACGGGAAAAGGAGCAGCGGGCACGCGAGCGACGCGAGTCCATCTCTGCCCGCTCCGCGGCCGCCCCAACCTCCGCACGCGGAGCCCGCTCGGTGGGGCAAACCCCACGTGAAAGCGCCCGCACCCCGGTCCACACCACCACCGCCGACGCCGCCTCCGCACCGGCGGCCGACGAGGACGACGACGACGACGAGGGCATTCTCCCCGAGGAGGAGGACCCTCTCGCCCCGGAACTCCCGGGGGACGTCCTGCGGCCCGTGCGGGAGGTCTTGCTGAACAGGCGCTTCCTGCAACCCGGGTACCTCCAGCGACGCGCGAGGGATGCGGAGATTAAGCAGCTCGCGTCGGTGAAGGACGGTCAGCTGCGCACCCCGCTCATGGTGTTCCAGGACCTCATGAAGACAAAGCACGGGGAGGAGGAGGCGTACTTCAGTCAACCGCAAAGCGCACGTGGCCGCTACAACGCTGGCGGCAGCAGCAGCAACAACGCCAGTACCCAGCTGAAGGTCAGTCCGAGACCCGCCACGCGAAACGCCGCCAACGTCTCTTGGTTTTAAGTGCGCTGCGGCGGCAAAGGGAAACTCTGCTGCGAGGAAATGCGGGAGAAAGCACGAGTAGTGGTGGTGGGGGGGGGTGTACGCGCTCTGGAAGTGTGGTACTCACGGCTGCCTAGACACGCGGACGTGCATGCACGGCGGGAGGCGCCTAGAATGTTGTATAGAGATTCTGCAGAGGGGGGGGGGGGGGAATGGGGGATGCGTGTGTGAGTTCAGAATGAAACCACACTGCAACACCGACAACGGCAATACGAAGAAGGGGGAAGCAGCAAAGGCCAAAACCAAAACAAAGGGTGGTGAAATAGGGGAGTGGAGGGGTGAGGTGAGGTGACAGCTTGATGGGTTGGTGCCCATGGGGGCTGTCCTCATCCTTGGACTCCATGTGCTTCCTCCCCACGCACCCGCACTCACACACACACACACACACACGGACGCACGCAGCTGCGCGGCTTTAAACAACGCCAACGGAGCGGGGGCGGCGGCCGCATCGTTCGTTTTCATCGCCGTTGTTATTGTTTGTTTGCCTCTTGGTGTTGTTGTTTTTCGTTTTGTTTTTCTATTTTTAGATCTGTTTCTGTGCATTTTGTAGCGGCTCCGATGGGGAAGTGCGTGCGGGACGGTGCCGCGGGTGCCCACCTCCGCCACGGCAAGCGAGGAAGTAAGAGTAGAGGGGGCCACGCACACACACGCGCGCGCGCGCGGTAGAGCAAAAGAAAAATAGGGCGAGCGAAAAGGAAGAAGAAAGGAAAAAAAAGGTAAAGAGATGTGTGTGGGAAAGCGGGAAAGAAAAGAAAATGACGCAACGTGCAGAGCGTGACTGGGAAAAGAAATAAGTTGGCGGGGGCGGGGCGGCCTGTTTGCGGCAAAGAAGGCTTTGGGAGAGGGGAGGTGGGGGGTAGCTGCTGCCGCTTAGCGCGCTGAGGGGTGGAAAAAAGGGGCCCAGTTGGCGGTGGTTGCGCCCCCTCTCCCCGCGTGCGTGCGTGCGTGTCTGGGCGCCGCCGTCAGCCCGGTCGAGTTGGTCTCACTCCACACGCCCCGTCGCTCTTTCTCTCTTCCTTCCTTTCATATGTATATATGTATATATATATATGTATGTATGCGAGTTCTTGTTGGGGATGCCTGCGGGTATGTCTTACGTGAGGCTCTGGCAGTATCGCCTTTTGTGATTCCATTGGGGTGTTGTTCGTTTCGTTTCTTTTCGGTTTTGTTGTTGTTGTTGTTGTTGTTATTTATTTATTTATTTTTGCCCTCGTTTTATTGCTGGCCCACTTTTGTCCATTCTTTTTTGTTGTCTTTTTTCCTCCTTCTTCTTTTTTTTCCGCTTAGCACACGGCGCGTATTCTTTTTTTTGTTGTTGTTTTTGTGTTTTTGTTTTTTCGGCAGCCTCCGCCCCGCGCAGCGCCAAAACCCGCGACGCCGCGCCGCCACGGAGGGCGGCGGGGGGGAAAAAAACGCACGTCGATTCCGCCACGCAAATGCGCCCCGTGGGGAAAAAAATAAAAATGAAAACAACAAATAATGACGGGGTGCCTGCAAACCGTCGCTGCTCTTATTTTTCCTCTTCGGTGCTGTTGCCTGGCAGCCATGGGCGTCTGTGTGCGAGCGCGTGCGGCTGGCTCTTTCCTTCTCTCCTCCCCTCTCCTTCTCTCTCTCGCTCTCTCCCTCGGGGCGCTGCACGGCGTGCTCCTTCAGCCGCGACCACGCACGCACGCACGCCGCTGACACTTCCGCAACTTCCTTCTTTTTCCTCCTCCTCCGCGTTTTGTTTGCCTGCCTGTTGTTGTTGTAGTTTCGTCCTTCCTGGTCGGCCTCTGCGTGGGTGCGAGCCACACAGAAGCCCCTCCCCCACACACACACACAGAGAGAGAGAGAGAAAGGCGTACACGCACCGCCAGGCGTTAGCGCGAGCGGACGATTAGAGGCGGGCGGCAAGAAAAAAAAGGAAAAAAGACAAAAAAAAATGTCCGCGCGCTCCGGGCGCCCGTTGCCCGACGGCGCGTCACAAAAGTTGGAGGCCCCGGCAGCCACGGCGACGGCGACGGCGGAGGTGGGGCTGCTGCCGCTGGTGCACTCCGACAACGAGCGGTGGCGGAGCAACAGCGCGTGCAGCTGCTCCTGCTGCAGGAACAACATCAGCGGCAACGCGCACGCGGAGCTCAGCTGCAGTCACTCCCAAAAAACGCCGTCGGCTCTGCCAAAAATGGCGCCGACGCCGGCCAACGTCCCGAGCGTCCCGTTGACGCCGCTCTCCGGGAGGCTGCGGGTGTCGCGAGAAATCTCCTCCGGCGACCGACCCGTGGAGTTCCGTCTGCTGGCGGCAAACACGCCGCCGGTGTCAGTTATCCCACTCCCGCCCCCGCAGCAGCCGCGGCTGCCGGGCGCCACGCCGATGCCGTCCGGGGTCTCGGTCCAGCGGTACCGTGCGAAGCTGGAGGAGTGCGCGGAGCTCCACCGCCGCCTCCAGGACGCCGCCACGGAGCTCACGGTGACGCGGGACCAACTCTTCAGCGTCAAGTTGGAGGCAAACAGCTTCGTGAACGAAATTCAACGGCTGAAGGATGTGCTCTTTGTGGCAACGTCTGAGCTGCAAAGCACGCAGCAGCGTGTGGATGAGCTGCAGCGAGAGAATAAGCGGATGGCGGCCGAGCTACGCGCGCGCCAGGCGCTCGCCACCGACACCGCCAGGCGGGTGGAGGTGTCTTCGGTGCTGAGGTCCGCCCTCGGCGCGGTCGCGGAGGCCTCCACGTACGGTAGCGAGGTACAGTCCTGCCGCCTCACGCATTCCGCGGCGGAGTTTTGCCTGGACGGCGACGCACCCTCTTCCCTGCGTCAGGCGGCGGGTGTAGATGCGTCGAAGACGGCCGCTGCCTTGGTCTCCTATGCAGTTGAGTGCTTCCGCGCCGAGGTGATGCCACACATGGAGCTGCTGCATAGCCTGTACGACGGTGGCCGACTGATGGCCGTCGATCCGCCCATCTCCCACGCCCAGCTGAGCGCGTTGCGGCGCGTCCTCGTGAAGGCGACAGGGTTGGCCTCCCCCGGCGAGAAGGAGGGCCCGTCGCCGCCGCAGCTGCGCCAATGCGGCTCCTTCGCCTCGTCCGCCGCACTGGCGTGGATGCAGCAGGTGGAGCTTCTCTCCTTTCGCTGCGAGAACTGGCACGCCAGCCTCAGCACGCTCCTTTACCTGATACGCAGCCTGGAGTCGGTGCGGGACCTGGAGCTCTTTTCCCTGAGCGACGCCGCCGTCGCGCGGCAACTGACCGGGGCCCTGCTCATGGCGCCTCACGTGGAGATGCTCTCGCTGCCGGAGTTGTCGCTCGACGACGAGGGGCTGGCTGTGCTCTTCGCGTTTCTCGTTCGCCGCGAGCAGCTGGCGACGAGGCCTCCGCTGATAAAGGCGTCACCGGCGTCCGCCTCCTCGCCGACGGAGCAGCGGCAGCGCGGCGCCGGGGAGGGCTCCGCCGCAGGGGATAGCGCCGAATACGCGGCGGGGAGTGGCGCGGGCCAACCGCCGCGCTGCGATGCGCCGCTGGAGCCGCCGCTCGCCCTCCCCTGCCTGGACCTCAGCCGGTGCACCATCGAGCACCCAACGGCGCTCTTCCGCACCTTCCGCGGGACGTCGGTGGAGGTGCTGGTGCTGACCGGGTGCGCCGCGCTGCGGGACGTGCACGTGCGCGGCGTCCTAGCGGCGTGCCCGCAGCTGCACACCCTCGACCTCTCCGGCAGCGAGGGACTCACGACGGCGTGTGTCACGTACATCAGTCAGCACGAGCGTCTGCGGGTGCTGCGACTGGAAAACTGCCCCGCCGTCAAGCAAATTGAGTTGGCGAACGTGGAGGTTCTCTTCTCATCGCTCGCGTACGTCACGCGACTTTGGGCGCCGGAGCTGCGCCGTCTGCCGACGCCGCTCACGCACTCGCACGTGCTATTTGACTTCTACGCCCCCAAACTGGCAGAGGTGACGCTGAAAGGCGTCGTCGTGGATTGCGGCACACTCGCTGCGTTTGTGTCCGGCAGCGACGGCGACGGCGCGACGGAACGAACGGCGACGTCCGCCGACGTCACGCTCAGCTGCAGCATCCCGTCTGTGGAGAAGCTTCTCCAGCAGCAGCAGCAGCAGCAAGAAGAGCAACAGCCGCGGGAGGCGGGGGAGGAGCAGGAGGAGGCGGAGGTGCCGGTGCCCGGCGAGGTGGCACAACTTCTGTCTGTTGGGTTCATTGGGTGCACCATCGCCGCCCCCGCCGAGCTGAACGCCTTCCTGCGGCAGCAAGCCCAACTGCTGCGGCTTTCCCTCCACGGCTGCCAGGGGGTGGTGGACGCGAACCTTGCGGGACTTCCCGCCACAATTATGGAGCTCGACGTTGGCGGGGTCGCGCAGCTGACGGGCAGCAGCATCGCCGCCATCGTCACCAGGCTGCCGCAGCTCATCAAGCTAAGCCTCAAGAACGCCGGCGCGGCCATAGAGAACGCAGACCTGCATCGCTTGCGGGGGCTGGGGAACCTGGAGGTGTTGAACCTTCTCGGGCTACCGCAGCTGCTGCCAGAGGTGGTGGCCGCCGTGGCGGGGGCCCTGCCGCGGCTCCGCGTGTTGTACCATGAGACGGCGGTGCTGGAGCACACGCGTCCGACGGTCGTCGTGCAGGTGCTTCGCAGCGACGAGGAAGACACCACCCGCCAGGACATTCATCACTGCTCAAAGGAGTTGCTGCACCTCCGCAACGAGACGGCGCTCGCGCTGTGGATGGAGGCCCAGCTGCCAAAACCCGCGCAGCTTCTGCCGCAGAGCTACGTGCCCACGCACGGCGTGAGCGTCGGGGCCCCGCAACCGCCGCTGACGAAGAACACAACATTCTACGAGTTAACCAAGCAGACGCTCTCGTCGCAGGGGACCTTCGCCCCGGATTCGGAGGAGGATGACGAGCCCGTGCTGGCGGGCGACGAGGAGAAGTTGCTGCAACAAGAGCAACCGGATGTCTTGCAGATTCTCGGCGACGAGGAGGAGGCGCCGCCGCACTTGCCCTCCACGGAGAGGTGCGACGACGACGAGGAGAACGAGGATGAGAAGTCGCGAGCGAGCTTGTACGACACCCGACGCAGGACGGAGTCTGCGATGGACGAACGGAGCCGATTAGCCATTGAAAAGACACCATTGGGTCCATGGGGTGAGGCCGACATCGTCGCCGAGCATCGGCGACATTCGGGGAATTGAGCAACTGCCCTCGGCCGGGAGGGGGGGAGCGACGCTCCGGCCGCATGTTTATTTGTTCCCTGTGTCTGCCGTCCCTTTTGCGGGTGCGTGCGCGCCTGACGCCGCTGGGCGGAGTGGGGGGAGTGGGAGGCACGGAGGTGAAGGGAAGGGGAGATGGAAGCAGGAGATGGCGGAGGTGCCTGCGGCCCCCCCACCCCACCCCCCTGTTATGAGGGAAAAAAGAGGCGGCGGCGGCGGCGGCGGCGTCTGAACTCCGCGCCGAGATGTTTATATTTTGTTGTTGCTGTTGCGCGTGCGTGCGTGCTGTTTTCTTTTTTTTTTGGTTTCATATGCCTGTGGTTGCCTCTTCCCCCGCCGCTCTTGCGCCTCTGTGGGCCGATGTATATTACTTTTCTCGACGGGCGTTGTTAGGCTCATTCGTTTTTCTTCTTCGCTCGTTTTCTTTTCTTTGCGCTTTTCCTTTTACCCCTCGCCTCGCTGGCCATTGCGTGCACTCTATCTAACGCTCTCCCTCTATCTCTCTCTCTCTCTCGATCTATCTATCCCTCTACCTCTTCTTCTTCTCTTTTTCCTTCGTGCTGGCTTGTTCTCTTGCGCCGCTGTGGAAGTTCCCGTGCCGCGGCACAGAGGCGAGGAGCGCTACACACGCACAGGAGCGAGGGGGGAGACCCGTCTTCACCTCTCTCTCTCTCTCTCGCCGCTTACTTGCGACGGGCTTGGCCTTGCGGTTTTCCTCCTCGTCTTCGCGGAGGAAGCGGGGCGTGGCGGGAATTAGTGGCGGGAAAATGTCCCTGACAGACGCGGAGCCTGCGGCGGGGAAGCGGGCGTCGTCCGTCGACACCGCGGGGGAGGAACACGCGGGCGGCGGCGCCCCCGCAGCGGCGGAGGCGAGGACGAACAGCAGCAGCGCGTGCAAGCTGCCGCAGTGCGAGGAGTACCCCGCGGAGCCGCCGCCTGCCCGCGACGGAAGCACGGCTTCGGCTGCAGCGGAGGAGTACCCCGCCTCCGACAGCGAGGGACCCTCCAAGCGGCAGAGCGCGACCGCCGTGCCGCCGCCGGGCACAGACGCGGGCGGCTCCGCGGGGGAGAAGCGGGCGAAGAAGCCGCCGAAGCTGCCGCACTTGTCCTCCGCGGGGGCGCTCTCCACACCGCACACCGCGGCGGCGGGGGACGCGCGGCAGCCGCGGCAGCGTGCGGAGAGAGCGCCGTCTACGGTGCGGCAGAAGCGGGGGCAACACCCGCCGCGTCCGTGTCACGCAGGGACGGCGGCGGCGAAAGACGGCGGATGCGCCACCCCCGCCCCTCGTGAGGAGGATCGGCGGCGGGGTGAGAGCAGCTCGCCGCAGTCGTTTCTCTGGTACTTCACCGACGTCTACATGAAGCCGGTGAGGACGCCGAGGCGCCGACCGGACACGCGCCATGCGAAGGGTTCGGAGGAGGGCGGTAAAACCGTCAAGCACGAGGCGGCTCGGGCGCCGGAGCGCAAGGCGGACGACGAGCGCCGCGCGGAGGAGTACCCCGTGGAGGACGCCCACAACGAGGAGACCCCCTCCGAGCGCCTCAATAAGCACAACAACGCGAGGTGGAGCGAGGGCGGCGACACGAAGTCGAGGTGGGTCCCGCCTTCGCGGGGGGCGAACCACCTCTCCAGCATGAGCTCAGTGAAGATGTCCCCCGGCAAGAGGGACCCCGCGGAGGAAACCTGGGTGGAACACCAGCACTCGCAAACGTGTGTTTCAATCCCGTCCCTGCAGGCCCGGCGGCAGAACGACGCCTTTCAGCGTTGCCTGCATGTACTGCTTGACCGATGTAACAACAGGAGCGAGAAGGACATGGTGACGCACCTGGGGTACAGCTACTCCCGCATCCTTGCCCTCAAGCGGGGCTACAAGCTCACTGGCTCCGCAGAAGGTGAGGTGACGTACCGCCAGGCGCTACTCCCACCCCCGCGTCGCGAGAACGAGGAGCGGACGCAGAAGCCCGCGCAGCGCGTAGACCGAGGCCACACCAATAACAGCAAAAGCAATAAGCACAAAAGCAGCGGGCAACAGAAGTCGTCTGCGCCACTCCTTGGAAACGGCTCGCCGATGAAGCAACCGCGGCATGCGGGTGAAAGCGGCGTTGTGGAGCTGCCAACTATATCGACAGTACACGAGCCCCGAGATGAGGTTGTGGAGTTGGGAGTGGGAGTGTATGAGGAAAGTAGAAGCACGAGGGAGTCCAGAAGCGTGGAACAGGGGGAGGAATCAAATGTACATTGTAGCGAGGAAAACCACCATGAGCTGCTGGCTTGATGAATGCACTAGGAATGAAATGCCATGGGAATATGTTTCTGGCGGCTTGCGCCTCTGCCTTTGCCAGATTTTTTTTCTTTTTCTTTTTTGGCTCTCGTCACCCCTGAGTGTACGTGAATGATGAGAAGGGGGTAAAGCAGATAAAAGAGAGGGGGGGGAGAAAAAAAAAGCACACACACAGACAAACATGGGGGCAAAGCGGGCGAAAAGAGTCGAGCGCAAGCAGAAGTATTGGCATAAAAAAAAGAGGAGGGGGGGGCAGGGGGAGTTGTATATGTCTTGCCTGTTCCTTTTTTCCCCCACCCATTCCCCCTGATATATAAACATATGTATACGTATTTCTCACTACGAGGTAGTCGCAATGTTTTTTTTTCCTTTGAAGGCAGGAGTGGCCGTATGTTGCCGCCGTGATTATTTGACCCTCATTTGTGGGCATTGCCTTCTCCCTGCTGCAGTTGTTGCTGCTGCTGTTGCTGTTGTTTTTGTCGTTGAAGTCTTTTCGTCCTTCTCGCCTTTTTTTTATTTGCCCCGCAGCCTTCCTTTCCGTCTGTCTGCGACTCTCTCTCTCTCTCTCTCTCTTGTGTGTGCGTGTGTGTGTTTGCCCTACAGGATGAAATGGCAGCAGAGGACTTGAAGCAGTATCTGCGACGGTGGCGACGCGAGGGGCGAGACGGCGCGCTGCCGTCAACAGCAGCAGCGGCAGGAGGAACATCTTCAATCGCCGCGGAACTGCCGCGTAGCTTCAGGCCGCACCGCATCGTTCCGCTGGTTTATCTTGGGGCTCTGAAGGATGTGGCCGACGTCTGGGCGCTGCATCAGCGGCTTCTGCCGGAGGAACTGCTGCTGATTGTCTCCACGTGCAGCCGCAGCCCCACGCCAACGCTAGAGATGCGGGAGTTGCTGCTTCCAGCGAGACCGCCACGCGCGACGGGGGCTGCGCCTCGGGTGCGGAGGCTGGCGGTGTGCTCGTGGGAGAAACTGAACGAGCTCTTCCCCTGCCTTTCCGGCGGTCCGAGGCCTCGGACGGGGGCGGAAGGAGGGCTGCGTGCAGCAGCGGCGTGGCTGCGGCACTCGCTGGAGTCGAGATCGTTTTTGGGCGACGGCGACGCAACGGACGCCCCGTCGGCGGACGCCGCCCCCTCCCGCGGGAGCGGCGCTGGGTTGGTCTACCTGAAGCTCTGCCTGCCGTGGCGCGATGAGCCGGCGTTCCCGGCGCGGGCGCACTTTGAGGTCGCCACCGCGCTCATGCGGGCGGTGGTGGAGGGGTTGAGGCGGGCTGTGGTGTGTCACTGCGTGGCGGGCGCGTCACGCTCCGTCACGCTGGTGTGTGCGTACCTTCTCTGCTGCTGCGGTGGCGTTGCGGCTGGGCCCATGCTTGCGTGCGCGTCGGAGGAGGTCGTGAGGACGGTACTTGACTTTGTACGCGAGGTTCGACTGTGTGCGTGCCCCAATGAAGGCTTCATGCGGCAGCTGACAGAGTACACCGGCAGTCTCCTCTCCGCCAAAGTCATGCATGCCTAATATTATTGGAAGGAAAGAACGAGGGTGAAACAACGGTGGGGTGCACGACTCACCAAGTTGCCTAACGTAACTCCCGTGGATTGCGCATTGCTATTTTGTCTCCTTGCAGTCTCCCTGTATCTCCTCCCCTGTCTCTCTGTCTCCCTCGTTATGCCTATTTACCTTATGTGTCTGCGTGGATACACGACTGGGGAGTCCATGCGTGTGTGGTGGGGTTGACGGAGAAGGGCATTGAAACTCTATCCCCAGCAATAGTTACCACACGCGGGCGACTGACTTCGCGGCCGGCCCCGCAGCAGCCTGAAATGGATTCTAGTGAAATATTAACCCCAGACGCCTCGGTGGCGTCGAACCAGGAGGAGGTGGAGAGGAACGGCGCCCCCGGCAGCTCTTCGCCCGGAGGCAACACGGAGGAGCAGTTTGTCCCTGCTCTTCTCTGCAGGTATTGCCGCATGCCCATCTCCCAGTATGGTGAGATACTCCCGCACCGCGCCGCCGATGCGTGGGCGTCGCAGGTCTACGCCTACGAGTTGGAGCTCTTCGACGACAAGCCTCCGCTGTGGTGCTACTCCGCCACCAACCCCTCCGCCCAACGCTTCGACGTCGTGCGCTGCGACGCGGCGATCGCGTTTCAGCGCCGGTTCCTGCGCCTCTGCGGCGCGTGGTCGGCGGAGCACACTTTCTTCGTCGGCCACGAGTGGCGCTGCGCTGTGTGCAAGACCTGCAACAACTTTCTCGGGTGGGGCTTTCGCCCGAGTTTGCCGCGGCCCAGCGACGCCACGGCCGCGACCGCGGAGTCCGACGAGGACGCCGACGAGGATCTCAGTTTTGTTGCGATTATTTTGACCCGCTGCACCGGCAGCGAGAAGTTTCCGTTGTCTTTCTTCAAGTCCCGCGAGGTCGCGAAGTCGCCGCGTGAATCATCCGTAGCCGCCGCCCCCCAGTAAGCGCGAGGCGGCATGAGGAAACGCGCTACGACAACACACGCACACACACACACGCAGGCATGCGGGCACGTCTGCCTGCGCTGGACGTGCTGCTGCTACGCGTGGGTGTGGGGCGGGGGAAGGGTGTACACTGCAGCAAGACGACGTATCCGGCCATTTTTTTTGTTGTTTTTTTTTTGCTTTTGCTTTTGCTGCACGCGGGTGGCGAGGCGGGAGGAGGCACTCAGCATCGAGTTTCCTGAGGAGCAGTAGGAGCTCCAAAAAATCGTACATATATAACGGACCCAATGCCGTGTTTTTTTTTCTGTGTGTGTGTGTGTTTTGTTTTTGGTAGCAATTCTACACCGCTTGTCTTCTTGCTTCCTGCTTGCCTGGTGGGAGGGAGGGGGTGCGTGCCGCCTCACTTCTTTCGTCGTTTCCTGCGCCCATGCTTCCCCTGCGATGCTTGTAGTTGAGCAACCACCGACGGCAGCCTCCCGAACG